GTGGTCATGTGGCCGGCATGACTAAATGCCGAAGGCGCACGGAACGCTGTTACCTTCCCACCAAAGGTGGTTCCTATTTTTCTATTTGTATTTTTATGTGTTTTCGAACTGCTAGGTTGGCAGAAGCTGGGACAAGTCATGGGAGCTCACTCCATTACGCAGCGCTAGGGATTCGAACTGCCAAACCGCCGACTTTTCTGATCGACAAGCTCAGTGTCTTAGCCACTGAGCCACCGCGTCCCTACGACAGTAACAAACTCATGCCTAAATCAAAATTTACTCTTTGACATCCTAGCTTTCCACAGGCTGGGAATTTTGCCCTGGAGGGTTGATTAAAATATGCCATTGCTCACTTGGACAATAAACTGGCATAGTTCTGATAGTTCAATTCTGTATGACATTTCAAAATTAATGATGCACTTTTAGAGGCATCACGGTGTCATCTCCTGAAGGCTAATTACATGGGGTTATTTCCTCCACATGCCTTCTAATAAATTATGTCCACAAGTGGGATAAAGAGCAACTGCTAGAGCTAAAAACCGGTGCTTGGAAGTGACAAGTGCAGTCTCTTCATTAACACATTTTCAAAAGTCTAGTATTTAAAATCTGGAGAGGAGAACAGAGATGCAGGATAAAACAGCTGCTGTCTGCAACATCAAATTACGGAAGACATATACAAAGCAATGAGAAGATGCACTTGCTCCCAAGAACTGAAGGGATTGCTACAGGATATATATTTGCAATAAATAAATGTATAAGCTTTACATGCAAAGGGACCGCCATCCTTTGTTCAATCCATCCTCCGTATTCTTCAATCCAATTCCCAAGAACAAGACTTGCAACCGTTCCAAAGTCCAGATATTCCCACTGGGATTTAGATGTGGGATTTAGTGTAGAAAAGAGCTGTTGGGGCCCACCAGAGGAGCTGGTAGCAGATTCGGACAGTGAGGAGGTTGAGGAGGAACATGGGCCAGTCCTGGAGTCTGGGAAGGCTCTGATGAGGGCTCTTTATCCTATCTATTCTATTCTATCTATCTATCTATCTATCTATCTATCTATCTATCTATCTATCTATCTATCTATCTATCTATCTATCTATCTATCTATCNGAATAAGAATAGAATAGAATTCTTGATTGGCCAAGTCTGATTGGATACACAAGGAACTTGTCTTTGGTGCATAAGCTCTCAGTGTACATAAAAAAATACATTCATCAAGAATCATAAGATACAACACTTAGTGATAGTCACAGGATACTAAATAAGCAATCAAAATCATAATAGGAAACTAAATAAAACATAGATCGTAAAGTTACAAGCAACAAGATTGTAGTCATAAGTAGAAGAAGATAGGTAATAGGTAATTTATAAATCTATAAATTCATAATCTATCTATTTATGTGCTTGTTGGGTATCAAAGCGAATTGCATAGCAATCTAGAGAAGAATGGGACAAGCAATTCTCAAGTGCCCTGTCCTATTCTCAAATCTTAGGTCCCTGGTTCCAGAGCACAGCTTCTAGAACCTCTAAAAGAGGATTTGTAGTCTTAAATGATCAGATGGCATCGCCTGGTTTTCCTCAACTGGAACAAAGGAGTTTGTTACATGGCACAGACAAAGGATGAGAAGGGCACTTACTGAGCCAGAGGTGGATGTGGTAAAGGAAAAAGCGTCCCAGCACCTGATCCAAAGCTCTGTTCATTTTTAGACCGGCTGGCACACCCATCAGCCACTGCAGGAGGTTCTGGAGCTGCTGGGCGATATGCTGCCGAAAGAGGAAGATATGATCAGTGTCAGTGGAAAATAGCTTGTAAAGTACAGAGTGATTTTCAAAAAAGCTAAAATATGATTTTATTCCCTTTTTTACTCATGGAAAGAAAATGCATTGGAGGCATCAAATACAGTTTTTCTCAACCACGGTAACTTCACAATAGGAGGATTTCAACTCCCAGAATTCCCCGGCCAGCCATATCTTAAAATTGCTAAGGTTCAGGAACACTGATCAATATATCATTCTATATCAATATATCACTCTAGTAACAGTGCAGAGAAGAGCAACCAGGAGGATTAGGGGACTGGAGGCTAAAACATACGATGAACAGTTGCAGGAACTGGGCCTGGCTAGTCCAGTGAAGAGAAGGACCAGGTGAGACAGGATAGCAGACTTCCAATATTTGAGGGGCTGCCACAGAGAGGAGATCAACCTATTCTCCAAAGCACCGGAAGGCCAGATAAAGGAATAATGGATGGAAACTGAACAAGGAGAGATTCAAACTAGAAATAAGTGCGAATTTCCTGGTAGGTGGAAACAATCAACTCATGGAAGAGAAGTTGCCTTCGGGCCAGGCCCAGTTCCTGCAACTGTTCATCGTATGTTTTAGCCTCCAGTTGTGGGAGTTTCATTACTGGAAGCTTTCAAGAAGAGACAGGACTGCCCTTTGTCAGAAATGATGTAGGGTCTCCTGCTTTGGCCAGTGGTTGGACTCAATGACCTACAAGGTCCCTTCCAACTCTGTTAATCTTTGCTGGCCAGATTTTGTTTTCTGCATACGAGTTGCTAGCCGCAATTAAACCACGATAGCAAATTAGGTTGCTGTTTCTTAGCTTGGATGGGGGGTGAGGGGGGAATGACTTTGGTGCCCAGCGACCTGGGGCCAAGGACCATTAATGGGAACGGAAACTAGAGAGGCAGGGGGAAGGAGAGCAAAGGAATGCAATTTTACACGAGGGATGTAATTTTTTTAATCAGTATTTGGGAACGGATCACACGCTCTTATGATTTATGGACGGAAAGGTCTTGTATGTATTTGCCACAGGGCTTTTAGCAGTCAAAAGCCGCAAGAATTCATCATGGGAATAACAACCACAGCCATTACCACCACAAATCTTCCTCTCTCTGGCTGGGCTCTAAGTCAATTCAACTTGCATCAGAGAGAGAGAGATTTTGCTTTGAAATGGGGAGTGCCGATGCATTTTATCAAACAATGAACAATGTTAAGTGAAGCATTTACCTAAGAACACGCTAACTCCACAGTGACATTGTGGTCACGCAGCTTTTGGAGGGAATCCAGGAGAAACATTTGATCCTGGACCAGAAGGAAAGGAATCTGAAGTAGTTCAGGCCTTTATTTGCAACTAGCTGATAACCCGGCGTTGTATTTATTTATCCTAAGCCTGCATTAGACAGGAAAAGCCCTGATTTTGGCGACAATTAAATGAGTTACAAATCTTTTCCCTGTGCCCCCAGAAGTGTTAAGAAAAGTGATACCACCTTAATTTTTAATGTTGGATTTTCCCCCTTTCCAGAGGGAGCCCCCTTGTGGAGTACTGTGAAACCATTACCATGGAAACTCCACTGCGCTGCACAGTAGAAGCCATTTTATGGCGGTATGGTAGAAGCCATTTTAAGGCAGTATGGGAGAAGCCCTTTTAAGGCACAACAGGCTGCATCTTAACAGAATACACACACTCTGAGGAGTGTTAGGGGTGTCTTACCCCCACAGTATTTGCGCCGCACGGTTTTGTCGGGGTTTTGTTGGGACCAGGAATCTGCTTCGTGCTTTTTGGGGAAGCCTAGGCCGGAACAAAACTTACATCAGCCACTGGGACGAGGCCACTGGCAAGATAACCAATCCAGTTCATTTGATACAACCAGGACATGAGCAGGATGCCGAGAGCCACGTCGATGAGAAGAGAGATAAAGATGTTGGCTTTCCTGCATTGGGGAGGAGAAAAAAAAACATTGTTTGCCATGTCAGGTAGAGTTACC